GCAAGTGAGAACTATGAAAAGAGAAGCAACTTTTTACTTTCCCCATTCCAGAATACTTTTTATGTAATGCATCAGTTTCATTAAGTGATCAATTCATAAGTGTAGTCGGTAAGGGTAAACTTCGTAAATAGGGACATAAAAAATAGATATATATACACATATGTATATATATGTATGGGCATGTGTTTTTAAACAACATGATAGCTTAAAGTAAATAGGTTCGTTTTAGGTAAAAAAATACTCGGATAATTGAGTTATCCACAACGAAATAAGTAGGACTCACAACACCATTAAATTTCACGTATTGTGTTTAGCAGAAAACTTTCTAATTGGGGTTTGGCCGCAGTTTTGAGCACATCTAGGTCTCATCAGCAGCTCCAAAGGTGTTGTAAACAGAAAATAATACAAAAAACCCTCTAATTCACTTGCACATAGGACCTTGCGATAAAAAGTTCTAGTATGATCTAAATTACTCGGTTCAAAATAATCTAAAGTGCAGCCGACCCCAGATGAGGAACCCTTTTAAGTAAACTTCATGTCAAAACCTTATCCTCATTTTGCTACGGGCAAGTCAATCATTAGGTCTTGTATCATCTGAGGCAAGCAAGGCTGACTCCGGTGTTCACAAAACATCTACTGATAATTTCAAAGGCTAATTAATCTGACTTAAGCTTTTAAAGTACCATTTTTTGTGTCATATTCCTTCGAATTAATGTCAACATACAGCATTGACACCATATCAGACACAATTCCAGAAGGTATGAAGACCAAGATGGTGTGGCCTTTTGTGTGGTCGCAGTCTCCTTTCGATTTATAAAGGTTGTTTGACCTTGTTTTCGCAACATGGTCATATTGGTAGGAAGACTTAGAGGAACGCACCTATTCCGGAGTCCATTATCTGCATGAGCATTTTCAAAGTTGAACCATGAACGTGATACATTCCCAAACGTTTTGCCGGCATCGTAGTCAGCATCGTCAGTGAGTATCGCTATCCTAAGCGCCATACAACAACACGTCAAAGAAACAAGTGAAGCCGATCCTTTGACCAAACGTATGCTAAACAATTATGGTATCTTCCATTCTGGCCTGGGTTATTCGCGTTTACGGTAGCATCCTATCAAGCCTTCACTATTGCAATTTTTACCGTGTTTATTTAGATAGTGTGGTGTGCTCCTTTGAGCGGCATAACACTTTCACACTCTAACTCTCGTTCTCAGCCCCCCCTCATCCTTGTGCAGGGAATTTTGATCAGAGTCTGCTTTATTATTATGCAGTCCTCTTTCCTAGTCTTATC